GTATCTGCCTGGCTTCTCCCTGCCAAGCAGAGATTATTCCCCCCTCCCCTCTGCTTTGCGCAGACACCTCAGTATTAGCTAATAGACCACACACTGGCTATGGTCCGTGCTGTGGGTGATGACAGGCAGACAGGCTTTTTGAGCTAATCAACAGATAGCTTAACACCCTTCCTTGTTCAGCAGGCTTGCCTTTTGGAGCTTGGGTTGACTCCCAGGCTTGAAATCTTGCTGTTTTGATTAGTGGAGCCCATCCACCTATCAGGAGGCAGCAAGAGGAGTTAAGTCATGCCCCTTTCCTGAGGGGAAGGGAAGAGGAATTCCCCCCGCCCCCTGGACCTGACTGAAGACTGCAACACTGTCAGGTCTGGAAGACTTCAGGGGCAGAGCCCTGGAGAGTATAAAAGGAGCTGCGTGCCCAGCACAAGGGGAAGACATCCGGGAGTGAGAAGAGCAGGGCTTAGAAGAGCTGAGGAGAGCTGCTCAGCAGGGTGAAGCAGTAGCCCAGAAGTGCCCCTGAAGACTTCCATCAGCAGGGAACAGCTCCAGCAGCTAGGCTCTCAGTGCACAGCATGGCACATGGCCCCCAGACCCTGGGAGCTGCGTGAGGTGGCTCAAATCTGCAACCTCTGGCGTGCAGCCAGAGACACGGTGCACAGGCCAGTGCACAGAGCAGGACCTTTGGAGCACTTGGGCGGCTCAGGTCCCCAACCCCCAGAACGAGGCCAGGAGCTCAGTGCAGGAGGCACTGCATATAGGGTCCAGGAGTGGACCGAGCCTGGTGCTGCATGAGGCAGCCTAGGCCTCTGACCCATAGCAAAAGGTTCAGTCCAGGGAGCCAGACAGTACTTGAGCTCCTGAGCCAGCTGACAGGGCCAAGCCACAGGCCCCAGAAGCCCTGCACAGAGGAGCCCTGTTCCCGAGGACAGCAACTGCCCCCGCCCCAAAGCCTACTGCAGGCGAAAGCAGCTTGGCACAGAGGACAATGGCCACCTTCCAGGCCTGGGAGCTGTGAGTTGCAGCGAAAAGAGGATTCCAATGGGGGAGGGGAGTCCTTGCTTGTTAGTTAAGGGCTCCTGAAAGTGGAGGTCCCACTGGTAGGGCTCCCCTAAAGTTACCAACTTCCTTGTAGGGCTTTGGAAAAGCCCAAGGGCACTGGGGTTTCCCCTTGGGATTAAGTTAATTTTTGGGGATTCTGCACCATAAGTGGTGTGATGGCATGCCTTATATTTTATGAACTCTCATGTTTGTAAACTAGTAGATAAGTAGCGTCATAGGGCTTTGCTGTTGCTATTATTTCACCTGTTGTTATTTGTATTTATTTGTGGCTTATTTTTTGTTCACCCATACTTATCTATCTATGTTTGAGGGTTATCTGTTTCAGATCAGATACTTACCTGTGACTTACCTGCACTGGTATAAGCTTTTATGTCATTTACCCAGAGGGTATCGTTTGTTACTTGTTTATATATATATCTATATCTATATATATCTATATATAGATATCTATATCTATATCTATATCTATAGATATATAGATATCTATATCTATATATATCTATATATAGATATAGATATCTATATATCTATATCTATATGAGAGAGAGAGAGAGAGAGAGAGAGAGAGAGAGAGAGAGAGAGAGAGAGAGAGAACATATCTATGTTACTTTCCCTGACTGTCCTGGCCTGGTTCTATAGGGACGGAGGGAAACTGAGCATCTGCAGTTCCCCCACACCACACCTGCCAGCTAACAATCCCCTTCAACTGGAGAAAGGGAGTATATACCCAAGTTACCTGGGCTACACTTGGAAGAGCTGTTTAAGAAGGGCTCCATTAGTTAATGGACAGAGACTTTGTTTTCTTAATGGGTTGATAAACACCGAGTTCCCTGGTGGGCAGCTCCAGAGGGGAGGGAATAATCAGAGTGTCCTGCCCCTCTCAGCAATGCCCTGTGGAAGCAAACGGGGGGGTGGGGGGGGGTGTCCCCTCTAGGATGCCCCGGCTTCTAGCCTGAGCCATTGCAGGCATGTGTCTGCATTTCTGGGATGTCTGTCTGGGTTACAAACTGATTTAGCCTAGCCAGGTTAGACTAACCTGTAAAGATTGAATCAATTCAGGCTCAGGCTTTTTGAATGTCTGTCCCTAGACCAAAAGTTTGTGCTATATATCTATTTTTGTTAGTCTGGGGGCTCATCTACATGAGACGTTTACTGTGGAGCTGCACAATTAGCTCTGCAGCAAAATCTCAGCGTCCGCATATGTGGCCCTATTAGGCCACAGTAAAGCAATTAAATCTGCCATAGGTTAGCACTTGCAAATACAAGTACTATCCTGCTGCAGAATTCTTAACTGTGCAGCCAAGCATGTGTAGACACTGACAGAGCTGGCCGGAGCAGGTAGGTACTTCAGTGTGGAGGCTGCTTGCTGACTAGCCCTGCACTGAAGCACCCTCGTGCCCCAGCCAGCCCCTCTGCAGCACATTGAGCCAGGTTGCAGCAGCCCCAGGCTGGCAGGCTGACTCTTGGGACTCCCTTCCAGTCGAAGCTGCTTTGTCCCAACTCAACGTGCAGCAGTCCCAGACACACATGTAAATGTGGCACATGGGAGCAATAAACTCTGGTGCAATATGCACTGGAATTTATTGATTCGCATTCATTTCACATGTAGACGTGCCCTGTAAGGTGCAAATCTACCCTTCCTTATATTTGAATGGTGTTCACTCTGAGGAGCCTAGTAAGGCTGGCTCCTCTCCTCAGTCAACATCCAGAAAAGGATGCATCTGAGTCATGGTACAAGATAGCTCAAATATTTGCTCCTTAGATTTCCCTTTCAGCTATGCCATGAGCTGATGAATTCCAAAGGGGAAAACACACACACCCAGCTTTATTTTTTAATTTTTTTTACTTTACCTGCAGCCCCAAAGGAGACTTCCGAAGATACTCCTCATGCAAAAAGATATACAAAGGCTTGATCAGTTGTTTGCACAAAGAATCTATGGAAAAGCTACATCTCCAGAAGAGACACGGACAGACATTAGTCTGCCTCTTGTGCCTGTTTATCTGATCCACAACAAAGAGCAGGGTGTTGATCCCTCACCACTCCTTGTTTTCTTGTGGTTTTCAATAATCTCCCAATGAGAAAAGTCTCTTTTGCTGCCATCACTGAAACACCCAATTTAATTTCCTCTGTTAAAAAGTTATTTGATGTAACATACTCGCACTCTGTTGTATCATTTTACCACCTACTCATCCTTTTCTTCACACAAATGCTTTAAAAGAAAATACAGGTCCTGGCAAGATTGCTTAACCATATGAAGTCAGAGTCAGTTTGGGCAGAATTCAAATGGAATCTCTGCCTACGTTTCCCGTAAAAGGAGAAAACACAGAATGGACAGGGTAACATCTTACAGTAACATTAAATGTGCCAAAAATGTTTCATAGCAATATCATGGGCAAGGAAATAGTTTTGTCAAAGTCTCACAAGAAACAGATTTTATAATTATTTCTTTATTACACTACAAAAGAAGTACAATCTCTAATATACATTTAAAAATACAAACTTGCTCCAGTTGTCCCAATATAAAATACCCAAACATCAGAAAAAGTCCAAACAAAAGCTTAGCACCAGCCTCCTTTGAATATCTGCGTCTAATTTATTGAGATGTACAAGCTTGAATGTTTTCAGGAGGCCTCTTAGAGTCAGGACACATAACGCATTTACATCAACTTAATTTACATCACATGTATACATTCATGTAAATTAAACTAGGAATTAGAGTGAACAGACAAGCAGCTATTCTAGCCTAGCTGTTCACAGCTGGTGCCATTACAGTACCTGGCCATAGACTTGGAATAAATAACTTGTTTGCCAGTAGCAAATGACTCTTCCAGGATGGAAGTATATGCATAGCACTTACATTGGTCTATCTTATCCCATGATCTTCCAAGTTACACCAGCATAGTGGTTTTATAGATAGACAGATCTATATCTATCTATCCATCCATCCATATATAGATACAGATATGCATAGATATGTATCTAATAGATGTATATTCTCTCTCTCTCTCTCTTGCTATATATATGTATATAAAGTGTTATGAACAGACAGACTTAGGCTTTTATAATATTATAGAGAGAGAGAGATCTAAGATATTCTATAGATTCTATAATAGATATTCTATAGATTCTATAATAGATATTCTACCTAATATTATAAAAGCCTAAGTCTGTCCGTCTGCCTGTTCATAACACTTTATTCGCACTCTGACTGGGTGACAGAAACAGCCAGAGTGCTCCAAGCGTGGGGGAGCGCCACCATGATTCTGAAGCTGTGCCGAGGACTGGACAGGGGGTGGGGGAGCCAAAGACAGCAGCGCTGCCCTCGGCTCCCCCGCCCTGCTCCCTGCAAGAGGCAGAAGAGCAGCAGCATGGGACATTCCAGCCCTCCTCCCCCCAGTCATTCTTGACAGGCAACTGGCGCACGCGTGCGCGTGCGTCTCTCTCTCTATAGATAGATAGGTAGATAGATAGATGAAAAAGACAAGAAAAGGTGAGAACGTTATGATAGGAAACATCGACCATTTGGATACAGTCCTCTTCCCACTGAAGTCTGTCTGGACTCTCAGTTTGGAAGGGACAAGATTTGGGAAGAAAGTATTAGACTTTAAAAATAAACTAAACAGTTCCGTCACCACTGCAGTGCACTAAATTCCGGTTCTCTCATCTTTTAAATCCTATTACTATTAACTTCACTGAGATCAAGATTTCAGTTCCAAACTCCACTCACTGAAGCAACCAAATCCAAGTGCCCTGGGAGACTAATGCTAGCAGATTAGTTTGGCATTGCGAAGGAGATGAAGTCCCTGGAATTAACCTCACGCATTGAAGTGGAAGATTTTTCTCTCTTCCATCTTGACTGGTAACTACGCTTGACCAAGCAGTAGAATTACTTAGAGCCTATTGTCATATAAATCCAAGTCCATTGCTAACATTCTTAATTTGATCCCCTCTTCTGTCCTTCAAAGAAGTACTTTAAACGTGTGATTAAATGGTTAAGAACAGCTTTGAAGAATAATTGAATACTTGTGCTGCCATAGTGAATGGGTGCCCTGTACCTATTCTTTACTCTTTTCATTTTTACTGCTTTTTCATGTAACTGACCCACAAATTGCATTGTCATCCTGCACGATTCAAAAACCCCAAACAACCAGTCAACCACACATACAAAGTACAATTAAGCTCAATACCTTTTCCCCATGATTCCCACCCGTCATTTTGGAATCCCAGGAATAGCTGGCCTAGCCCATTATACCAGTCAAGTTACTGTCTCCTCCTTGTGGACATATTTAGTTATTAGGTCCACTGTTAAACTGAAATTTGAAGTAAGACTGACAGATTTAACCTGGTGTGATGCGTATAAGAATGAAACTTTTTCTTTTGCCTGGGACAGGATTACTATTCAGGCAAAGGGTTTCTTTTAACTACTCAGCTCTGGCACAAGATATTAAGAGGGATTAAGTGGATTTATAGATGCACTTTAAACTACTACTTTTTGCTTGCCAGTCTCCAGATCCACTGTGCTCATTGAATCTCCACTTCTACTGCACTATCACTTCTGTAAAGTTCCCAAAGAGCCACACTTATTAACTTCTCTCATTGGTGCAAGAGCATCATTCTGTGCTCAAATCAGAGCACAGAACAAGCACTCATGATGGAAAGCCTCTCTGAATGCAGCAGCACGAATATGTCAATAGCTGAACAGCTAGGATGGTTCACAATTGTGTATTTACAGCGCCCTGCCACACAGACAAATAGCTGAGCACCACATTTTTCAGAGAATCAAAGGATTCTGCACTGTGCTTGCAGATAAAGTGTTTTACTAGTGCAGACAACTGAAGGGAGCTCAGACTTCACAGATTTCAGAAGGACAGAGGGGTCTCTACTGGCTTGTAAGATCTGGTCCCACAGGGGAAAATGGAACATGTAAGAAATGTGGAGAAGTGGAACTCTGCTGGAAGAAAAGGGCTGCAGGATTCAAGTGGAACATCTAAGTAGAGCAGTTAGGTACTGAGAGGAAATTTAGTAAATGGAGATCAATGTCAAAAGAATCAGCAATGCATGGAGTTAAATGATAACCTTTAAAACAGAATTTCAAAATATTTATGCTCTGGAAAATCTTTAAATACATATTTTGACTCTAAGGAAAAGGACAGTCCAAACTGTAAAATTTCCCCTGTGTTGGCACAGCTTGTTCTGATTTTTTTTATTTTATCCAAGAACAAGATCCAAGATCCCTAAACACAGGGCTCTAAGTCAAGCACATTTGTTTTCACTTTGACATAGTAATGAAATATGGCATATGGGGAAAGTGTCTATGTTTCTTACAGGAATCACTGTAAGACACATGAGTGAGATAGAGAAGAATGGGATTTTGGTTCCCCACAAACAACCCAGGAGGTAGCAGTTATGTTAGACTTTGAAAGTTCCAATATCATACTGTGCATAGTGAATAATGTATGCAGTTAAGGGCTTAATTCATTACGGGGCCTCAAGACATTTTAGTGACTGAAAGTGATTTGTAGCCTGACAAATCAACATTCACACAATACAAAGCTGACTTATTGAACTCCAGTTGCTTTGCAAGATGAAACATAAAAGAATCCATTTGTAATTATCAAACTCTTGGTGGTTTAGTCATTGCTGTCACTGGCAAAGAACTGTATCTCACCTTACTATCTAGCTCTTGGAGATGCATGTTAAATGTATTGTTCTTCATCTCTGTCATTAATGAGCAGTGACCACTTGTCCCCTTCTTCCTCTATAGAGCCACTGTGTCTAGACAGCTTGTCTGAAGTCAGAGAAGAGAGGGACACTTGACTAATCTGATCCCAGGCACTGGTTCTGGGCAAATCCCGTCTCCTATCATCCATCCCAATGTGAACACTGATTTGAGAAGGAGTCAGTGGCTTCATACAGCCCTGAGCTTGGGCTTCATAACTTTCTGCATCTGGTTTCTTGTAACTGAGAAAAGAAAGACAGAAGAGTTTATAAACAACTACTGTGTGAAGCACTAGCAGAGAGCTATATCAGTATTAGAAAATATGAAGACATTTCTAATGCTCATCTACTACTTGCACTGCAGAAGAAACACTAAAACATTCTACAACAACACAGGCACTATCATTTGCCGTTTATTCAACAGTGCAGTTCCACCATGATGCCCTTGGAAAAGAAAAGCCTAGACATGCTGGACTTTGAAGTCTCCCCAGATGTTGCTGTGTTTTCATGAATCTAAGCTTTTATTTTAAAAAGATTAAGTCCTAGCCCCTCTGGTTACAAAGATCATAACCCTGCACAGTAAAAGCCAATACTGTGCCCTGGAGCCCAGAATCAAACAGGACTTAGATGGCTCCCCAACATTTGACCTTAATAATTTCTTAGCATGGCATATAAAACCGTAAGAATAGATAAAAACAGAAAACAATGAAAAGCCTTACAGAAACTCCAGAGGTTTTGGATAACTTTCCAAAGAAATGTTTGGGAAGAATCCTATAAGTACACATCCTGATTCTGCAACAATTCAAGCTTACATAGAACTTGACTTGTTTGAATAGTCAATGGGCCTGTTTACCTGAGCTAAGTTGGGTAAATACTGAAGCATCTGCAGCATCACAGTCATAATGCCAGAACAGATTTCCCATATTAGAAGTTATAATAATAATAATAATAATAATAATAATAATAATAATAAAGCTTTCCAGAACACAGCTGAGGTTGACATGTTCTTTATCCATTATCTGATGCAAAGCTTTACTAAAGGCAACTGCAGGCATCATAAAGGAGCCTGATTTTTCAAAAAGTGGGCGTTTAGCACCTTCTGAAACTCAAGCCACTAAAAGAATCTCAACTGGGCACCCACCCCCTCTGGCGCACACTTCTCCCCCTCCCCCCATTAGTCACTTCCGACAATCTGGTTATGGTTCAGCAGTTGAATTATTTCCATCGAAATGTAGTGCAATATATTGTCAGCTACCAAGTGAAGTATAATAAACCCACTTCTTTGCTTCCCCTCTTCTCTCTACTAACTTAACATTTAATTCAAGACAGAAATGCTAGTGTGAGGCCATGGGTAACTCTTTTTTGAAAAGCTTCAATTAATAATGAATTATGATGGAACGCACATTTGAATGATCTGATATCATGAGGTATTCCCTGGAAAAAACTCTGATCATCATCTCATTTGGTATTTAAGTGGATCTCAAACACAGCTGTTCCAGTCAAAACTGTAGCCTCTAGTTAAAGGATAATTGGAATGGGAATAGATATCAAGTCTGCTCATTATAATGATGGGCATCCCTTTTCATAGTTTCATAGTTGGCAGGGTCGGAAGGGACCTGAGCAGATCAAGTCTGACCCTCTGCCATGGCAGGAAAAAAAGTAC